GTAAGAAAAGTTGCATCTATCTGCTAATTTTAAGCCATGGGAACTACCATTTTGAACAAAATGCGCTTCATTGCTCTTATAAGTACCCTCCCAACTAAGGGCGTGCATAATGGGGGGCAAGCAGGGGCACGAGCCCCTCAAATAATCGGCAGGGACACAGAACCCCTCTAGCCCCAGGGCCGCAGCAGGCAGAGCGAGCTCCTCCGGTCCCGGGGCCATGGTGGGGGCACAGAACGTGCCCCTCCAAAAGCAGTCAAATTTAAGTTCCTGTGCACACTTTGCTCCCAACTTTATCTTTTCCTCTGTGTCCCATCCACAATTGCCTTTCATATGTAGATGGACCTGTGTAAATGTCAGGGGCTAAATTCTGTGGTCTGATGTGCACATTGATGTCAATGGGTGCTCTGCTTGCAATTATAAGGGCAAAATTTGGGCCCTTAGCTTTTACAGCCATCAGTAACTGTGTTGATGTGACTCTCACACTGGTTTGCAAAAACTATGGCCTCTACGTTTTCCTGCATTGCCCAGTGCAGATGGGAACTAAATCATGGAAAGAAGCCATGGAGTTCATGGTGGAGGAGTATCTAGGCTGCATGTGTCTCTCCCCTAAACTTTTTTCCTGCTCCTCAAAACAAAAAAACAAAAACATATGGAAGAAGGAGGCCTGGACAGCCAGGGGTATGGAGGAATTAGGGATCAGCAAGTAATTGGGCAAATTCTGATGTCTTTACTCAAGCAAGAGGGCTAAGTGAAAGCTGAGGAAGGTCTTCTGGGTTTGGTCTAGAGGATTTATTTGCATATAGCATAGGACCCACGTTAAATCATACAATGTGAAAAACAATACAAAATGAAATTTTAAAAGATGAACACAGTTACGTAACTACTGGAAGGTTTATGTTATAATCTTTCTGAGAATGAGCTGTCACAAAAAATATTAGGAAAAAAAATTCACTAAAATAAAGGATAATTTATTTTTGTGCCCTGGTCTATCAACCCAGAAGAAATGGGTATCTCCTTCTTCTATCTCTACTTGACAGGCAGATAAACAACTAATAAGAATCTCCTGTTGTGGATCCCACTAACCATTCAGGTCATGCCCCTCTTTTCTCTTCCAACCTGGATGACTTCCAGAGCTGCAACTCTACCTTGCATTTGTAACAACATTACATACAACGTGCATAACCACAAAGGTGCAATTTTTGCCTGAGTGAGGGCTGGGGGTCAATTCCTGTACTGGCGGAACTGGAGCATGAAAAGAAAATGTGAAATCTAGCTGACATGAGAACAAGACAATAGGATCTGTGTAGCATCTTCCAGAGATAAAATAAAATAAAATCTACAGAGGGTGTAAAAAAGGAAAAGGACCAAGCTAACCAGACCGCATTCATACTACAAGGTCCCCCAGCAAATAAAAACAGTGGCCCTGACAAATTCTTGACTATAGTGGAAAGTGGGGGAGAGAGGAAGGCCTAGTAAGAAGCTCTGGAGAACTCTCTTCCTTGCTGCCTGGGGGCCACACTGTCCATTGGCTTTATCTGTTGAAGAAAGAACATTGAGTTGATAGTACTTCGAGGACATGTCCAGGGGCAGCTAAGTGCCAGCTTTGCAGTTTCTCAGCTGAAATCTCTCCGTATTTCATCCCAAAAGGCTGAAATGGATCTAATTGAATGAGCTTTTCTATGAACAGGGCATGAAAGGTCCGCCAGCTTGTATGCATCTGATCCAGTTTTATTCATTTAACTAACACAGGCCTTGAAGCTTCAGCCCCTTGCTTCTTACTCTCGGGGAATGAATGAGGATTTTCTAAATTTGGTTGTTCTAAATAAGAAGGCCTTCAAGGCTACATGCATGTCACAATGGTACCAATTCCCCTTTCTACCTTAGGTACAGTGCAGTACACCATTGGCTTTAGAAGGCTTACCAAAGTGGAACACTACTGGATCTGCTCAATGAGTAGCTCCATCTTGCAGTTTCTGTGCATGGATGGAAACACTAGTTCTCATTCTGAATCTCAAAGGGTATGGCATTTTGGAGGCTGCAAGAATGAACCTCCCAGCCTGGATAGACAGGCTTGTTCATGCTAGAGCTCTAAATATAGCTGTATAGACAGCACTTTGGAGTTGTGACTCAGGCTGGAACTTGGGCTCTGAAGCTCACCTCCTCCCTAGATTCAGAGCCAGACTCCAACTCGAGCTGCAACTTCAAAACACTTTCTTTATAGCTATTTTCAGAATGCTATTGTGGGTCCTGGTAACCCAAGTCTGTTAACCCAGGCTGGGAGTCTTGCTCTCATGGGCTCCAAAGCTCTGTGTAGATATACCCTAAGAGATAACTCCCAAATTAGTTATCTTTTGAGAGGGAACAAGAGAACTCTGATCTGTCTGTTACCAGGCTCAGCCCCTTACACAGGCTCCTGACCTTGTCAATTGCAAGGGAGATTTGCTGAAATATAAGCTGCTTGTCTAAATAATTTATTATACAGATAACCTCCTTCTGCAGAGCTGATGGAACAAAGACCAGGGTTTCCTCAAGGGTCTTCCAGGCCATAGCCAGCTTGAGGGGAAAGATCATGTGCTAGAAGTGTTTCTGATCTGCCACTAAAGCAAAGGACATTCCATAGAGTGGCAGCAATTTGGATGTGTAGATTTGCATTTTGCATGTTGATTGATGCCATGAAGTCACCAGGAAAGATTGCAGAAAATGTCACATTTGGGGTTTACATTTTGAACTTGCAAGAACTCTAGGTTTGTCTCGTGTCCACTAGTTTTTTGAGAACTAGAAACAACCTGAAATACAAAAAATGAGGAAGAGGGGAAGATCCCTGTCCCTTCTCTTACCCTTGTGTACCTGCCTAGGACATGGCCTGTATATCCCACATGCAATCGTGTGAGTTATGGAACTGAAATGGCTGTGTGGTATGTTTAGAATAATAAATCACATCTTCAGCACTTAAAATCTCTGGCCATTTGGCTGTAGACTAGACCTGCTCTTTCTGTACAGAAGTTTGTAAGTGACATCGAATACAAAAAGAACAAAGGTAAGTGAGTATAGTTAGAAACTTGTGAGCAGTTTTACCCCTCTGAGATGCAATAAAATATATGTGTAGATCAATATGTTATACATTCAATACAGAAAGGAATTCAATAGCTCTCCCCACAAAATGAAATAAAACAAATAACACTCCTATCCCCAGAACATAAAGAGGCCTATGCTACTTTGTCTTGCAGGTACTTATGTATGTCTTATTGTTTTCTTTATTGGCTTAAAAATCTGCAATGCAATGCTGTTTGTTTTCTGAACCCTGATTTCAGAAAGATGATGGACTTTTGTATAGTTTGGGGTGAGTTGGGTTCAGATATAATTTGCCATTTCAGTCCATTACTCTCTTTGTTTCTTCAGACATAAATGGGCTTCAGCCGGCTTGGAGTCCAGGCCTATGTGTAATTCTATGATTTACCATGTTCTTGAATTTTAGTGCTATTTTGGAGGTGGCTGCATAATCATGCATTTATGGTAAATCAGCAAGCTGATGTGTCAGACGCATATAAAGCCGTCTTGTATAAGCACTCATAAAAGCCTTTTCTACTGGAAAAATGGCATCTATGTCTCATACAGTGGTGTATGGTTTGTTCTGAATGTCTAAAATGAAAAACAGAATTATACAGAGAAAAGATCTTTGAACAGGATGCACTCAAATAGAGGTCTGTGCTATTTTTTGTCTTCTGAAATGCAACACTGATATAGGGTCTCCACTGAAACATTTTTTTCTTTTCATTTTGTACTGTTTCATAACTCAACTATACAAGGGAACTTTACAAAATTCCTGCAATATGACTCTCTCCCATAATATTAAGTATAGTCCACTACTGCAAAACACAAAACCTCTAAATAGATTTCAGTGCAAAATTAAACTAAGATGCATTTGTGAGAAACTTTGTCAATCTGTACATCTTTTTGTTGCTGGTGCAAGCTTAAGGGTCTGCTGTATGACTCTTTACTGTTTTCCCCGAGTGTCCTTACAAGTTAATCTAAAAGTAGTTTCTCGTCCTGTTCCCTTGGAATCACTGTGAGTTTTGCCATTGACTTCAGTGGGAACAGGATAAAGCCCTTCATGAGGAAATAATAGAAAATATCTGTATTTTCTTGGTAAATGAAGATATTTTGGAAGGAATATTATATGGAAAAGAGAACCAATGCTTTATTAAATAGGAAATTTACAAATGACATTACCGTTACCTATCAGGGAGTTAACAAATATTTGTGAAATATGAAGAGAGGAAACTGGTGGGTTCAAATAAATAGTCCATTCCAATTTTGTTAATTAGTTTCATGTAGTTAATTTTGTCTAACAGCAGTAAAACTATCTTTGAGAATAGGTCATACAATAGAGTCTATAGAGTGGACAAGACCATGGGCTTGTTGACACAGAGAGTTTGTGCGTGGCAAGCTTTGTTGTTATTATTAGTAGCCTGTACTGATGGAATAATGTGTGTGAAACTCCACTAAGGGACCTCTTCGATTTTTCCTCATCTTGAATCCCTTTGCATGTGTTTTATTAGAGAAGGGGGCGATCCTCCCCAGGAGTCTAACTGTACAGGGCTCAAAGGCAGACATAAAAGTATCTAAAGGTGACCCAGAGTTGCCTTTCAGTACTTACAAATATCATGCCTTTAAAGTCCAGTATCTTGAGCCCTTCCACTGCTAGGAGCAACTATTGTGTATCCGATTGGGAAGCTAGGAATGCCCCCTTTCCAATCTTGGAAAAGTCTCATTTCAGGTTCCACAACATTTCAAGATGATGAACATTGAAGTGCTGTTTAGAAACCTGTCAGTCACCAAGTACTAAATCTAGCCTGTTCTGGGCCTTGTGCAGGTGTAATTTGGGAAGAAAGTCCATATTTGGGGAAAAGGAGGAAACATATGACCAGCTGATCTAAAAAGAAATGGGTGCTATTTAAAAAGATGCTCAGCGGCTTGGAATCTTAGAATAAATCCAAAGAGATGGATCAGAAGGGCAGAGGGCAGGAGAGGCAGTCAGAGGTACACAATACATTAATATATCACATATTTTTATCTCTGCAACTTTTTGCAAGAATATCACCTCATTATATGTAATAGTATTATTGTTATTTACTGGCTCACTGATTATGAGAAGGACAGAAGAATAGTTCACTGAAACCTGTGTGAACAGGATCATAAATGCAAGTTCAAAAACTGTACAGGACAGGATATAAGAGAGGAAGAAAGAAAAGTCAAACACTATGTGTTATGTTTTTCTCTTTCTCAAACAAACATTATATCAAGAGAATATATCACCAAGATTCCTTTTCTCCTCCGGTGAACTCCAAACAAGTAAGTCTGGTTAAATTGTTTCTGTAGCACATCAAAAGCTCTGCTGAAGGGAACAAACAGAAAAAGCCTGGAATTGTTTTGCAGGGACACAGGAAAATAGGTCTTTTTATGTCATAGTTTCTAATTGACTTTGCAGTGTTCTCTGAAGCAGGGAGTATGATACCTAGCATCAACATCCAGAACACAAACATGTTACGATGATAGTACTGCAGGCTTTCATGCTGAGTATACTGAATTGGAAATTTTTAAGTGTTGGCTGTCATTGGCATCAGTTGTCATGCCACTGAGAGCAAGATTCTGATGTCTCTATTCACTTTGATGAGCTCTTTTACTCCATGAGTAGTGCTATTTTTTTCCAGTGGGACTATTTGTGAAGAAAGGTGCTATTCAATGTGTGCAAATATATTAGAGACCCCAGTAAAGTCGAATGTGAACTGAGCGAACCTGAGGACCATCTAATCTGGTTATATTCAGAAGGTTTCTGCAACTGTGTGTGCTGCACAACTAGCTCTCTTCTTTAATATGACATGTGTTAACCAGAATAACTCTAATGGCTCACCATCTGGGAAATGTAAAATGATCAGGAGCCCACCAGATCCCACCTGGTAGATGACATGGAAGGAGCGGGGGTGTGTGTGGGGGGTAAGTTATATATAATTATTTAAAAAGAAGACTAAGATTCTGCCTTAATAACCTGGGGAGCACAGGAGGGCATAATGTAGTGTGCATGGCCTGCTCACTTCTCAAGCAAACTGTAGAATATACTCTACGTGGACTTGACCTAGCAAAGACCAAGTGCCATCAGAGCCAAATGTAACTCAGTATTAAAACAAAAATAGTAAAGGGAACAAGTTAAAGTAACTTTAACTTGCATCTTTGCCATTCTGCATAGGAGACTGAAGCAGATATTGGTCCAACTCGGGGATGTTGGGAGATTTTGGATGCCTGGAGGACACACTAGCCGTTATTAATGTAATATAAGCCTCCTTTGTTATAATGATGTCACAATTGAGGTTATACTCACAGAGAAAACTGTATGAACTGGGAGGTGGGTCATTCAGTGTTCCGGTATGCGTATCTGACTGTGGGTCACTGTCTACATTACAGATTTGTTTCTGAATGAGTCAAGTACCTTCCAGGAGATGAGAAGTGCTTTTGCAGCATTTAGCCAAACCTTGATTCTTCTATATATGCTACATCCACCCTCACACAGATCACATCTGTTGCATGTTTGCATGGATTTCAGGGGATGTTTGGGTGCCATTTGCTCTTTCCTGTTTTTAAGGATTTTTGGAGGCTCTTTTTTATTCTTATACACTCTTTTTAAATCCTCTAAAGGAGATTATTTGGCCCTTGAATTTGTAGATAGTTTTTTCTCTGTCTCACACACACACACACACTCACTCACTTTAAAAACTCCATTAACATTTTTAAAAGATTGAATGATATACCAGAAATGACCAGGAAACACATATTTCTCTAGTGAAGCTGTGCATACCTGGTAGTCCTGATATTCTATTCCAGTTAATGGATTTTCTGTTGGAAACTGAAGTCATGAGATACTCCAGAGAGAAGAATTCCCTTGCAACAGCTGCAGACCAAACCCCATGCCACACAATAGTAAATTATTGGAGTGACCTTGGCAGGTACCCTCATGTGCTACGTCACTACCTGTCTTTTCCTTTTTTAATTGTGCTATCATGAAATACAGGAGAAAATGTTCAATAGACTATATGCAACATTCCATGGAGGAAAAAATACAACAATTTTTGTTATATCTTCCTATAATCCTTTTTATTGCTGTATTTCTGCAGGCATGAATCTGTCTCATTTCCCCAAGCAGCAAAACAGTGACTGCAATGGCTTTTATGGGCCAAATCGTGACATCAATTACACCTGTGCAATCTCACTGAAGTCAATAATGGTCTAACTAGAGAATGGCAGAATTTGGCCCCATATTAGGAAGAAACAGATTCCATATCAGATTCCCCTCCAAAAATGTAGTTAATCTGGTGCAAAGTATTGATGATACTAACATGATTAGAGCTGTCTGAAAGGCTGACAATGAAACCTCAAACCAAGTAAATTCATTTGGTTTTGGTTTTCGTGACAGATTCAAAACTTAGACCGTGTTCACCAAAATAGTAGCGTCCTTTCAAATGAACATAGCCCACTTTGTGGTTTTGCATCAAAAGCTGTGGTTTGCTGACTCATCAGGATAAACTCTTTGATTTCATTTTGTTCTATTGACTGGGGCACAGTTAAACCCAAATTTCAAAAGAAGACTCCTGGAGTGACCCTGCCCAGATTTAAATCAAAGAGAATGATTGCATGCACAGATGGGAACCTGGGAAACAAAACCATCAAGTTTTGTACATCTCTAGATGTTATTGGGAAAACTGGAAAGACAGACTGGAGAGGCAATTTAAGGAGGAAAAGGGAGAAAAACTAATGACTAATGATATATTTAGGAATTCAGTACTGTGGGGAGTGAAACCTTGGAGAGGTCCTGTGTGGAGGAAGCTGCAGAGATATTGGAATGATGTGGGGGAACTGAAATAAGACAGATTACAGGATGAGGTGAATTAGACTGAATCAAGTTGAAATGAATCAGGGAATAATGTTGAAATGAATCAGAGAATCCAATATTTCATCCTTAAAGCAATCTCTTAATAAAGGTCATAGGGCCCAAATGCTGGGCCTTATTTTATTGTCTGTACTACAGCAATAAAGTTACATATGCATTTAAAATTGGTCTGATATATAGATGTCCTATATAAAATAAAACCTGAGTCAGCGTAACCTTGGAGTAACATTCCTTTATCATTTTTCAAACTCAAATCCTATTTTCTCTTGTGAAAACTAGCTGCCAAAAATACAGTGTTCCTTGGGGAAATTATTAGGAAACTCAGATTGTGTGAAATGTATGGCATAGTTTTAAGGATAAAATGTAAAGCTGGATATATTGTTGGTATTTGTAGATCAAGTGCAAATTGGACATCAGTGCTATGTGAAATTTTTAGTTTGTATCAGTCAGTTCCAACAGGATAGAGCAAAGCAAGATTGGCAGGTTGTGACTGCTCTAGGAATCTGATAGTCTGTACATAAATTAGAATTTGTGTCATTGACAGCTAGTTACTCAGAAATCCATTTGGCTTCACCTCATTTCCTTATGCATGGGTGTGTATAACAATGACCCTGTTATATACAATTACATAATAACTATGGCTCTATAAAGATATAAATTATATGCATCAAGTCTAGGATTCAATCAGATTCAAAGCCTGAGTGTTATAAAAGGACAATCTAAAATAAATTATGCATTACTGGAAAAATAAATCAGTAGAATAGATACATGTCAGATTTATAAAAATACATACACTTTACATGCTTTACCTGTGCTGTTCATGGAAAATAATATTTTATAAGTGCTAGGAATACCTGAAGTCTTGCATAGGCGATCCATACTTTTCAGCTTTGAAAGCATTTCTTTTTAAAATGGTTGTTCTCAAACAAAAACCAATCAAAAACAAAGTAATAAACACCCCCCCACACACGCACACATTTAACCCCCACTATTTTTAGCAGCTTTCTTCCCCTCCAGTAAAATACATCACTGTATTTACATTTAATTTTTTATGTTCACATCTTGTGATACATTACATTCAGTTATCTAGGTCAAGTCAGATTAGTTATTTATATTTAATCTGTTTAAAAAACAGTTTGAGCATTTGGTATTTACATTTTTCCACAGGTAATAAGCAGAGTGGCTATGCAGATACCAGACGGAACTGTGGTTGTCATGACACTCTGTTTAAAGGAACCTGTGCTAATACTAAACTATTCAGACCCCATGTTGGGGGAATTAAAATTTAAAATAATAATAAAATAATCCTACTTTTTTGGGGAAAACCAGTGCTGTATTTTTAGTGAGTTTAGAAATCTTCCAAAAAAGGTGTTATTTAGAGCTGTCAGCATTTTGTTATGTGACAGGCTATTTTCCTGCCTGACTGTGCTTTTGTTTATAATCCATCCTGATGCTCTAGTGGGGTATAGTGTTTCAAATGACATGTGCATACATGTGCTGAAATCACTTGTGCCTTGATGTCATGAGTATGTTTAACAGCTGGATTTTTGTGGATCTAATTTAAGCACAAGATAAAGATAACATTCCTTTCAGGGTAGTGAGCAGAATGGAACCAGGAACATTTTCTCATTTTCCATTTTTAATGCCATATGTGTCTGTCTATCCATCTACAATGAATGCCCTTACAAACTTGCCATACATAAATCAATACGAGTATTTCAATCTTATAAAGTATACCCTACATGGAGGTAATATTATTTAAGGCAACTGGTAAGTTTTTAAAGGTAACCACTCAAGATAATTATGGATGCAAAGACATATTTGCACTGGGACAAAGTTCAGGATTTATCAAGCCTGTGTACCACCTGTATTGCTATATGGGTCAGAAGCCTGGAACTGCTGATAGGCAGACTTGGAGTGGCTAAAGGTATTCTATATGTGCTGTCAGCATCACATCCTGATCTAAAGTGGTTTGACTTTGGGCAGAACGTCACAATCTTGCAAAGATCTGGCCTTTCCTCAATCACTCATTATATTCAAAAGTGGTGTTCCATGCACTTCGGCCTTGTCACCAGGATGGACAAAAATACTTTACCACACC